AGTCCACCAGCTTCAAACCGGTACCAAGGTTTTCGCGAACGATCCTGTCAATGGCACCTGGATCCCGGTGTCCGAGCTTCCGATGCCACATATGCTGACAATTATCATTGTGTTGCACAGCTGCTACCTTAAGCGCTGGCCAGACTGAGCAGTTATAACATGTTATAACGGTTGTCAAATAATTGCAACACAGAAACCACCATCAAGATAGCGCTATAACATGTTATAACTCTGTAGTCTGAACAAGGCATTAGCCGCATCATGTTCCTTCAGCTGGTACAAACCACCTCGTCGTTCAGCGACCGCAACGACAGTCCCATTCATCGTTACTCTGCATTCAGCTTTGTCAAAGGTCACGATACATCCTTCTCCAGCAATCTTACTGATTGAAAGCAGGTTTCCCTTCAATGCCGGCACATGTAACACATTCTTCACTTGTATTTTTCGTGGATTACCATCACCATCAACAGCTACTAGCTGTCGATCACCAAATCCAGTCGACGATACCTTGCTACCATCAGCCAGCGTTATCGACACACTAGCTTCGGATGACACCGACGAAGAATCACCAGACATATGGGACGTTGCTCCCGAGTCCAAACACCAAGCCGATTTACATAACAGTTCTTCTCCAACAGTAAAACACACGTCGTTTTTATTGCTTTCTTCTTTTACCACTTTTACTTTCTGTTCTTTCTCTCTTCGATCTTCCGCAAACTTGGGGCATTCCCGACGAAAGTGGCCTTCTCGCTTGCAATAGTGACATGTTTTCTTTATTTCATACTTCCCGGACACTCTTCTCTCTGTATTCACTTTCAAAGCTTTGTCATGTTCTGCAGCATTCTCAGAACGCCTTCTCCACTCGTCAATCAATTTACCTTTGACGAATTCAAGGTCAAGTTCTTCGTCATTTCTGCTCTCAAGCGCTACGATCAGCGTATCATAAGACGTGGGCAGGCTGGACAACAAAATGGCCACCACCCAGAACGAACTAAGTGTGTCACCCATCGATTCCAAACGCTGTGACAACTCCATCACATTTGCTACATGATCCGCCATATTGCCATCTTCTTCCAGTTGCAGCCGCAACAACTTCCGCAATACATGAACCTTATTAACGAGCGACCGCCGACGGTGGAAACTCTCCAAAGATCTCCACATTTCTCGAGCGGTTACGGCTTTCATCACATGAGTGAGTTGATTATTCTCTAAAGCAAGGCCAATAACTGCACGAGCCTTTCCGTCCTTGGCCAACCATGCCGCATCTGGCTGGTTCGGCACTTCGTTAGACACTATCTCATACAATTCCTCCTTTATGAGAATAAGTTCCATGCGAAATTTCCACGTAGCATAATTTGTATCACCGAGTTTCTCAACCACGAATTTCGCATCCGCCATTTTGATTTGTTTTGCTTTGCCGGTCACACACGAGAAAAAAAAATATTTTTCGCGAATCACTTTAACGAGTTCCAAACAAGCATCTGGACAACTCACCGCGGACAACGTCTGGGCCCATAACCTGATGAACCGCAGAACTAAAACACAACAGTTAGTAGAGTAAATTAAACTTATAGCGAATTCGTTTATTATTCAGTTCCAACCTGGATCGGGTATCAAGATTGGGTCTGCTTGTTTTCTAACAAACGTCAGTTTGCTCGTTTGTTTTTAAAACCTAGCTCAGGTTGAGGTTCGCACTGACAAAAAGTTCGGTTTCGCACTGGGTTGGAACTGGTGTTAACCCCGATAATAAACGAATTCGCTATTATATATTGCAACGATGTTTACAGGTTGAAGGTTCACACATTATAAAAATAACAAAATGGCGATTTGCAGTTCGAGAGCTCTCTGATGGGTCGCGTACTTTTATGTCGTTTTCGTTTTTACTACACTACACCGGTGTAGTGTAAGCAGCAATAAGCGCGAGTCATTGACAGTTTATCATCATTTGTTTGTAAACAAAGGTGCAGCCGATAGCTACACCCTAAAAATTTTCTGTGTTCGGCGGTGTAGCACCGGTGTAGCTACACCGCAAAAACGAAAACGACATTAGATGAACTCAATTTATAGTTAGCAGTATACGGGGGGTGTACCGATGTACGCTGTACTTTCTATCAATACTGCGATACTTCCATTGAAGGTAAGATTCGACCCTATGTCCCACCGCAGCAACGTAATCGTGTAATGCGAGTAATGCATGCATACATTCAGGTGTTCGAGCAACGCGGAAGTTGATAGCTGATCGATTCGCTTGGACATCGGTGAATAAAGACGTGACAGACTTCGTTAAGCAATGTTTGGCGTGCCAGCAATCAAAAATACAACGCCATGTAACTGCTCCTCTGAGTACATTCCTGTTGCCCAAAAGTCGATTCAAGCATATCCATATGGACATTGTTGGACCGCTTACTACAAGTATGGGTATCGGTACTTTCAAACGATGATTGACAGATACAGTCGCAGAAGCAGTTCCTATTTCCGATATCACTGCTGAAACTGTTGCACGCACCTTCAATTATGCATGGATATCCTCGGGGTTCCTGAGCAAGTTACAACAGACCAAGGCAGACAATTTGAGTGTGAATTGTTTAGAGAGCTGAATAGATTACTTGGATCGGAACACTTGCACACTACTGCATACCACCCACAGGCAAATGGATTAGCAGAACTTATCCACAGGACACTCATCAGCCTTGATGTGTACCGGTTCGAAGTTCTGGGTTGAAAGACTTCCAATGGTGTTGCTTGGAATTCGAACTTCGTTGAAAGAAGATTTCAACTGTTGCTGAGCTCGTCTACGGTCAACAATTACGAATCCCTGCTAAATTTTTCGACGAACCGACGAAGAACCTAGATCGTAGCCGAGAGCTGCATGACGACCTTAAACCAGTTCATGTGTCGCACCATGCCAAGCCTAAGGGTACGGCCAGGGTAGACGCGATTCGCGACCAATTCAAAAGAATCTTATTATTTGTTATTGTTCCTTGCGTGAGTCGCGTCGCGTGTCGCGTCTACCCTGGTCGCGGCATAAAGCGTTTGTGTATAAGGAGTTGGATGATTGCCAGTACGTGTTCGTGCGAATTGATATGGTTAAAAAGCCGTTGCAAATACCGTACGAAGGACCATACAAAATCATCAAACGTAGAGAAAAAGTTGTCGACGTTATGATCAACGGTAAACAACAACGTATCTCTATTAATCGTATCAAGCCTGCGTTTCTCACCAAGCAACCGGATGCTGCAAGTGAAAAAAAAACTGTAGTCATATCATCAGGCCATAGGATTAGATTTCTGATGTAACAGGAGGGGGCTACTGTGGTGGTGCCGTAGCATGGATTCATCCCTGCATTCACCAACACAATCATACGACCATGTTGCAGAGAGTCAGTCTATGTCAAGCACCATAACAAGAAAGTTGAACGCAGTTGATATTAGTAATTAATTATCGCGTTTTATTCGTCACGTCCGTCGAAATCCTACAGTCCATTCAATTTTCACACTGCCATACTCTATAACGGAACTATCAATCTACCCTCTTCAGAACTTTCTCTAGCTAATAAATTACACTAGTTTACAAATAAAAGTAAAAAAAATAAATAACTTGAATTTTTGACTAATAATTCTTATGTAAAATCGTGCGCTGAAAAAAAAATCTCAGTAGGATAGTTTTCGAGATACAGCTAAAAAATGAAAATTCACTTAAAATAAGCATCGGGAATTTGCTCCCGGATGTATTGATTTGGTGAGTACGTTCCAGTTGAAGATTGTTCTTATACATATCTCGATTGCATTTGCGGGCAGATGAGTTGGTCGCCGGTAAGGGCCAGTAAGTGCTGCCAGCAGATGAATCAAGAGGTATTCGAAACAAAATTGATAAGAAATGTCCATTCAAATCGATTTAATACAGTTGAACAAATTTCAAAACTATATACGTGCCAGATTTGTAAATAATATTTTTTGAATCTGGAAGTGTGTTTATGATACCATTATCCATTTGATAAAGGTAGAGTGAACATGCGGGGCTTATTGTAAGTAAAAGTGACCTCGGAGTGGTCGTGAATTACCAGGCATTCTGAAATGGGTCGCTGGAGCTGCAATAGAGCTAACACCTTCTAACTCCCGGACTAAACCTGCTTTAATTTAAGGGTAATAAAAAGCAGTTTTCTTCCATAATAACACTGCCGGACAGTGGGGGTTAGATTGTATACACACACACACACACACACACACAGCTAAAAAATGAAAATTCACTTTAAAAAAGTGTGTTTACTAAAATACAAATATCTCCGAGACTATATCAATTATTTTAACGCCTAATTAAAGGTAAGAATTTCGATGTTTCGATCAACTGAACATCAACTGTCCGTGAGATTAGTGGTATTGTTGTTAATTAATAGTTTGTTTATTATATTTTTTTTTTCTCTTGCATTTTTCCAAGAAAAATTTAATTTCTGATAAGTTTTTAGGCAGTGCAAATAAAAATGTACAATTGATGGTACAACCACTACCACTAATCTTACTGAAAAATGGTGTTCAAACGATCGAAAGCAAATTTTATCACCTTTAATTTGGCGTTAAAATAATTAATATAACTTTATTTGGAGATAATTTGTATTTTAGTGAACACATTTTTTTAAAGTGAAATTTAATTTTTTAGCTATATCTCGAAAACTATCCTACTGAGATTTTTTGGACTACATTTTTGGATTCAGCGCACGATTTTACATGGGAAATGACCATCAGCGTACATAGTTCAAATATGCTGTAAACTAGTGTTATCACACTAAAGCTTTTGTTGATATTAGATAGCATTTCCAAATAGTCGATGTTACCACCCTTGAGCCTTACTAAATAAACGAATTAAAAAAACTTCGTTCGGTGTAGATTCACCGAAGTGGATAACAGCCCATCGAGTATCAGTATGGGAGAAACCAAAAGCAGCTCTTCAACTCACCCCACGAACAAAATCAGACATTTTAATAAAAATAAAAACATGGGACTCACCTGGTATATAATCCATAACAAAGTACAGGTTGTCTTTGTCCTGGAAACTATAGTACAGCTTAACGACCCATTCGTTGTCTGCTTCAGCTAGAATATCTCGCTCGGCCTTAACATGTGCCACCTGATTGCGTTTCAGTACGTCCGATTTGCGCAAGGTTTTCATCGCATACAGGTGATTGGGTGCATCGATTTTCCGCACCAGAGTTACCTCTCCGAATGCGCCGACTCCGATGGTTTTGATGAGGGCAAACATTGACTTGTCCATTTTGGCACGCTTCAGGCGAATGTAATTGCTCTCCTTTTGGCAGAGAAGCTTCCGCATCTCGATTTTCGTTTCTTCCGGAAGGTCCAACTTGGACATTTCGCTTTCTAGCTGTTTGATGCGGAAGTTTCGTTGAGTGTATGACTTCAGAACATTCTCAATATGCTGTTCCATGAAGAACTTGTATGCCTGGGGCGAATAGTGACGTACTTTACACTCAAAGCGTTCTGCTTCCTTTTCTTTGGAAATGTGTTTCCGTTCCGGAATCGGCGATTGATGCTTGATTTTTTTCGATGGTTCCCCTTGCTGTGGTTGAACCTTGTTCAAGGAAGACTTTGACTCGTGTTCATCCACGCCAGGTCCCGTCTGTAAACAGTTGGTTTTGGTGGCATTAGACCGATAGCCATGCTGCTTGTGGTCGTTTTTATTGCTATTGCAAGCATCTAAATGCTGCAGCTGGTTGTTGACACGACCGGCTGATGCACCGTTCGGTGGAAGATTGATATTTTTACCACCATTGTTATTCACGATACTTTTTATACTCGTTTCGTACATTTTTGAACTAGACGAAATACCATAATTCAGGTTGTCACTCATCGTTTTTCCATCACATTCAACTTTATCACCAGTGTTGTTATTGTTATTCATATTATTATCAGTATTATTACTATTATTATGATTGTTTTTATTATTAATATTATTGTTTATTAAATTGCTAAGACATTGACTATTATTATTAGCATGATTTATAATATTGAGATTATTACTACTATTACTATTTACAGCATTACCGGCATTCAGGTCATGTAAATTATTATCATCGTTATTATTGCTAGCGATGAAGGCATTGCTACCCTCGGAATATGGAGGAGGTGGTTGCGAATTTCTCGTTTGGGGTTGTTTCTGTTTTAAAATCATAGTTGTATCGTATGAAGGTGGGTCAACACTGCCAGTTCCTCCCATGGGGCTTGTTGCGACAGGGAATTGAACACTCTTTCCTCCAACAATGTGGGGCTGAGTGGGTAAAACATTGCCTGTCTTCTTGCTGCTAAACTTCTTCTGTTCTAACGAAGTGGCGTACGACGGTGGCGGTGGAGCAGGACTTAGATTTGACTGAATCAGTGTTGTACACGTGGTTCCTGTGTTTGGAGCCGAAGGTGCCACAGCTGTTTGTAGAACAGGTTTTTGAACTTGCGTTGATTTAACCGAATGCATAATTATAGGATGTTGTGTATTGGTTTGGCGAGAACCTCTGGCTGGTGGTAAGGCAATTGGTTTAGGGATAGCATTTTGCGAAACAGTAATTGGCGAGGGCGAACTCGCCGAGGCACTTGAGTAGATTCCCGAGCTTGGGCTTTTACGAAAATCTTGCGATGATTGTGTAGGACTTTGTCGACATTGCATCGATGCCATATAGCTAGGTGGCGCTACTTGACTAATAGGGGATATCGGATAGGGAGGGGGAGGTTCCGCTGAATTGTTAGTATAGAAGGCTGACATCTGTTGATTCAATTGCTGTTGAGCCTGTGGCCCGTTTTGCACAATTATGGGCTGCCTTAGATTGCTGTTGCTTGATATTGGTGATGTTCCTCGGGCGGGGCTTTGAGACTGAAATTGGCCATTGCGCGATGTGGCCATCGATGCGGGAGATATGCGTTTTAGAAACTGCTGAACGGGAGGGGGTGTAGAGGGAGTAGATGGACATCGTGGTGGCGGTAAAGGGGGTACCTCGCTGAAATTAGATGGCGAGGGCGAAAATTGAGCCCTTCCTGACCCTAACTGTTGTGAGTGCGGACTGTTCGATCGCGAACTGCCCGCTCCGGAATCTAGTGCAGGACTATTTCTTGGCAGATGTAGCGATGACTGTGGTATTTCTCTTTCGATACTTGTTTTACGTATTAACTTAGATGCAGCGGAATTCTAAAATAACAGCGAAGGAGATATGAGGAATAATTGATGATACAAATCGAATTTAAACTCACCTGAGGAATTCCATGCCCTGCTTCGTATGATTTCAGGTCATTTTTTATTTTCTCTAGTGCTGCGGCATTATATGCTGGATTTCGTGAAGCGGAAGGAATGTTACCGCTTTTTTGATTCATTTCGTCAACAATTGTTTCATACCAGAGACGGACTGTTATTTACATGAACTGAAAACAAAATGGAAATATAAATCAAAATAAATTAATCATATTGTAGAGCAGTTTTGGGACGACCTTTAACAAGCTATTTTGAGAAAATTAAGCAATAAATTCCAGATTTTTCAAGCTTAGCGTAAATTTTAATTTTGCAGCGTTTGGTGGGGCAATGGGAGCGCAAGTAAATCCAAAACCGAGGATAAAGGAAGGGTAATAGCTGAATAGTCTATGCGGACCACTTGAACGCCATGGGAAAAGGAAGGGATTGAAGAGGTCGGTTATTGGGGGGTTTTGAGGAAATGACACATAGTACTAGATTTGTGCTGCAAAATATAAAGAAACCGAAAATCCATCTCCCACTGATTCATCCTTTCCCACAAGTACCAAATTGATATTTTAAAGCAACCGTCAAAATAAACAGACAATATATGAAAAGGCTAGTTGCCAGTTGCTTTAAAAGCTAGTTGCCTCCCTAAGCGGACCCCCCGCATCCTACCTCTTTTGTTAATCTTCTTAATGTTACTAGGCTGTCTAAATTTTCTTAAGTTTAAGTTCGTTTGATGATTATGATATCTCATTAGCCTAATTTAATAAATAATTGAAATCTCTAATCTACCTAATCAATTATAACCCATGCTTTATTAAGTACTTGTACTAGTGCATGTAATCTAAAATTTAACGTGTTTCAAGTTGTTTTTGACTTTGGCCTATATTTATTATAAATTAGTTCGTCCCAGGTGACACCTTCAAGTGACTAAAATGCTTCACTTTGAAGTTAGTTTCCTAGCTGATTTTTAAATTATAAAGGGTATATGCTCCAACTACGCTCACACGTTTCCACTATGTCGTTCCACAAAATTACGTATGGATATGTCACAATAGAAGCACGCCACAGTGGAAATCCCGAGCCATAGTTCAAACACTTATCCCAAATCAAAATGAAGCACATATAAGATTAGTTACAATACCATGTACAAAAATGATGTTTAACATTGTTCCCTGAATAATACTTCAATGAAAACAACAATGAAAGCTTGTCAGGCACATAGAAGGAGCACTGTTGGGCACTTTCTGAAATATTTCAATAGTTTAATTCCCGTGCAAACCCAAATGAATCTAGGGGTAAGAGGGGCATAGTGAACAGGTGGGGCATAGTGAGCTTCTCGTGCACCAGCTTGGACTTTTGGCCGTTAGGAACAAATTGGTTGGTGGTAGGATCAATATCATAATGATATTGAACCTACCTACTACCAGTTGATTTGTTTTATGCAGTTAGAGATCCAGGGCCAAACTACGGGATGCTCACTATGCCCCACCTGTTCACTATGCCCCTCCTCCCCCTATATATGTAAAAATAAATAAAATAATAGGGATTTGCAGAAAAACCCGCCAGTATCGCACCCAACATTAGTGTCTATACGTAAGCGTACTACGACGTGGCTCTCAAACAAAGGAGTAACAAGTGTGATACTATCACTGTTAGACTAGATCTTTGGTTCTCTCGTGCAGTGGTTCATCAGAGAGGGGAGGCTCAGTAATCCTCATCGCATGCCCATGACGCTATTCTGCCACGGCATGGGCCAACGATGCCGGACCTAAACCAACCGTCTCCAACGCTCCACTATAAAGTCCAGGTTAAAAACTAGCCAAGGGGAGGGCTGCTACATAATCTATCCATGCACTTCCACTTCGAATTTTCAATTACACAAAATTGCTACTTCATGTATGCTGCAGTGCAGCAAACGTGGAGTAACAATTTGAATGTTGCATGTATCGTAGAAGCTGATATTTGTGCACTTTAAGTTTCGAAGTGGTTCCGAGGATAAGGATGTCACAGCGAATCACCTTAAGACCAAATCAATAGTTGATGGATTTCTTGCTGAAGAAAAGCATGTAGGGCTGTTTGTATATTGAATAGTGTAATAACCTGCAGAACAATCATCAAACAGCTTTGACCATTATTCCATGGGCGGTGTTTTGCATTTAAATCACTAATAATGAAGAATTTAGACCTATGACAGGTAAGTTTCTGAAGGTCTCCATTGAGAGCATTATTTTGCTGGCCTACGCATAGGAATGGCAAACAGGCAGCTATAAACGTAAGTTGTCCAAATTTTGTGTCAACAGAAACTCTCAAAGTTTCAAAAACTTTGGTTTCAAATGAAGAATTTTATGTTTGATTCGTCTATGAACAATGATGGCAACGCCACCACAGGGTCCATCAAGACGGGCGGAATCTTTTCCTTCTTGGCATTAAGTCGGGAAAGTTTACTAGAATTTTTCCTGGATGATGGATCATTCTCATCATCAGTGAGCAAATCAAATTGATTGCTCAAATTAATTTCATCAGAAAGGGGCTCAAGATTTCTTTTGCGTTTGGGCACCATGGCGGCAGTAAAACTTTTATCCAAATCGACTTCCTAGCAGATTACTATAAGAATCTGAAGGATTGAAGAGCAATTTTCCAAATCGATATCCAAGCAGGATTAACTAGGGTCCAAACAAGGAACTAAGAGGAATAAGAGTCGAACAAGGTAGATAATTTACAGGTATTTTTAACACTGAAAAGTGCTGTTTAAATTTGTTGTAGCTTTAGCAACACTTCCTTCAGCAAAAAGCAAATAGATCCGCACGGCATGAGAGCATGATGCGGACTGACGGCCTATTGTGCTAATTTAAAGGCCACCACTGTACCCGAGCAAAGTCGGTTAACAAAATGAAAGCAAATCGATATTAAAGTGTGCAGTTCCTATCATAATGAAAACTCATTTTGATTTCAAATGTCGCGACATAAGTCTGACATCATATTGTGCTTTCATTATGCAGTCAAGACTTTGTAAATGAAAGCAACTTAACTTGAAGTTCTGCTGTTAACTTCTTGTTTAAAATTTAATTGAAGTTCATCTGTCGTTGAACTAATGATTATTGTTTATTTGTTTTGTTTAACACATTTTAGGTCATTTGTGACTTGCCCGGGGTGAGATTTGAGCCCAAGTCTTTCAGCGTGAGAAGCATGAATGCTAACCATTTACTCCAGGCCCGTATTCAGTTAAACATTATGAATGCAAAATCAGTAATCAAATTGATTTCATTGAAAGCAGAATTAGTTTTCCGTTTGCTTCAACAGTGTAAAATTTTGCTCTCATTTTTGCTGTTTTAACCGTTAAGTCAACCAAAATGAGATCAACTGGAGTATTCAAAATAAGTTACATCATAACAGCAAATTTTGATTTAAATTTGATCTCCAGCTTTGCTCGGGTATACACTCAAAGATAAATTAAATCAAAAAAGCTTAAAAAGTATGCAGTTTTCTCAGTGGCGTCCCGTAACCTCACTTTTTACCTGTGCACCAACTTTCAAACCCAGATTTAATGCCATATTCATACTCAAATCGGTTGAAAAATACATTTAATCTTCTCGTTTACTTGATATCTATCCATTGCGAGCAAAATTTTGATAATCGTTTATGTTTAGAGAGTTGGTGCACAGGTAGATTGAGGTTAAGGAAACGCCACTGAGTTTCCCGCTTCACCTTATTGAGTTCGAGCCATGATTACTTCTGCAGTAGTCATGCATGATTAAAATTGAAATAATCTTTCCAGTATTAAATTTTATTCTTTTTCAATACTGATATATAATAAAAAAGATTAAAATTCAATTAAATTTTTTTTAAATAGAATCAAAAATGATTAAAAAATTTCAAAAAAAAAGATAATCTACAATCTAATCAACCATGATTAAATTGGGATTAATATCAGATGCTTATTTTTTAGAAAGAGAGGATTAATTTTTAATCATTCCATATGATTTAACTGAGTTTAATGTTAAATTGATTAAATTTCAAGCAAAATGGGAATAGTTCAATTTATCAGTGTATGCTCAGTTTCTATTTAAGATGAATCGTTGGGACATCCTTATTTTCGAAACCACTTCGAAACTTTAAGGTGATACTCTAAGGAAGGCTTAGCGTGAAACTTTAAAAGCACAAATGTCAGATTCCACAAAACATACAAATTTGAAATTGCTACTCCTTGTTTGCTGTGCTACTACAAACAGAGAGTAGCAATTTCAAATTTGTTTGTTTTGTGGAAGCTGACATTTGTGCCTTTGAAGTTTCACGCTAAGGCTTCCTTAGAGTATCAGCTTCTACAACTTGTGCAACATTCAAATTGTTTCTCCACGTTTGCTGCACTGCAGCATACATGAAGTAGCAATTTCAGGTGAAATGCGTCACCGATTTCCGAGATTTGTTTTTTTTTTTTTTGTTAATTACTTTATTTGTACAGGCTCATTCGAATAAACTTTACAGAGCCAAGTTATCATTTTCTTTATACATTATAAATGTCTTAAATCTAAAATTAAAGGATTGGAACCGATTACTCGCGGTCTTCTCGAGGTTAGTGGATGACAATTGTTTGCATCGGGAGAGGGAAAAGGAGATTTGGAATATGATTTATGATTCAAAAATTTCACTATTTCTAAAACAAATACTTAATCCTATCGACGTTATATCAACTCTGTAATTATACAATTATTACAGAAACAAATCTACAAAAAAAAATACACACACACATACAAAACACAAACTAAACACAAGGTTAATCAAACTTACAATCTATGGTTAATATTCTTCAAGAAAACATATATGAGTTGCATAAACTCCAGATCGCGTCTAGCCAAAATATCCCGAACTGGAACATTAGGTTGTCTACCTCGAGCCCGAAGGGAATCGTACAACTCGGATCTGACTCCACGGTGCTCAGCACATGACCAAATAATGTGATCTGCGTCCTGGTAACCTTGTCCACATTCACAGAGATTACTGTCCCCCAGCCCAACACGGAACAAGTGAGCGCTTAGTGAATAGTGATTGGACATGAGGCGAGACATCACACGAATGAAGTCTCGACCCACCTCCAAACCTTTGAACCAAGGACACTTCGACACCTTAGGAATAATTGAATACAACCATCGTCCCAAACTCCCTTCACTCCATTTATGTTGCCAGCTGG